GATTATTGCCTTTAGTTGCACTGGGATTAACCTTGCGGTGGTACAAGCCAGGTGGAAGTGACATAGATTTAGGCACACTGTCAGTTTGAAATTTGGCTTTTGTCAGGTGCCAGTACTAAAAACCTCAAACTTCTTCCATTCTCAGCATATTCAGAAGAAAGCTGATGACTGGAAAGTGAAGATGGAAGTCTTAGCAGGTACGAACCACCTCTCTTTGAACAGCCTGAAGGCACATGATGTGATTCTGCAGCTGAAGTTCTAGCCCTACAGACTGCTCACGTGTAAACCCTCTGTAAGCTGCTCTGCAGTCTTTTGGAGAAGAGCAGAATTTCTAAGCATTTAAATGAAGTAGAACAGTGATTCTCTGGTGGCTACCCTGAAAATCTTACCTCAGTTTAACACTTGGCTATCCCATAGCAAACATTTCTCTTTAGTCATCATGGGAGCCTTTTAAACGCCTGGAACACAAAGCAGTTTTGAACTTCATTTTTGCCACAGCGACATTGAAATCTTAGCTCAATTATATATAAACTAGGAGCCAACCAGAAGACTGAAATACCTGTTTTGTGGAAGCTGATCTAGTTGAATCACCACTGTTCAGTTAAAAAATACTGAAGATTATCCTGCATCTTTCTGAACCTTACAAATAAGGTGCAGATGGAATACTTAGTTTTCAACGGCCCAATCTGAGCAAACCTCCACTGACTGCATTTAGATCTGACAGTGGAGACGAAGCCTAGTTTACTCTGAGGCTCAAATGCTTTCTTCCTTTTTGCATAGGACCCAGACTGAAGACTTCTTGATTTTGGAACTCCTAAGTCTAACGAGTTGGTTGAGAACCACCCCATTTTTTTGTGCCTGCAAACCAGGATTCTAACTCTGATCTAGGTTCAGGTGTTCTCAGTAAGAAGGGAACTTGTTAAAAGGCCCAAACTATGTATTGAAATCAAATTGTTCCTGAGCCAGGAAGTCCTCAGACTTGACTCTGCACTCAGAGAGGAGTTGAGATGTGCGTGCCCCAGGATAAGCCAGGGCTTATTCTTCAACCAAGAGGAGGCTGTGTGTGCTGTCTGAACAGAGCCATTCGGTTGGACCCAAAGGGTTTTTCTGCTTGCAGAAGGGAGGGCAGTTTTTGCTGATTGCCCCCTTTTTACTACAGACTTCTACATGACGCTCCATGTTGCTCCCGAGGGTCCCCTAGTACATCCTCTGCCACCATTCCCCCAAAAACCTGCATTTTGGGGATTGCAATAGGCTGTAGTATGGAAGGAAAAGATTGGTTCTATGAACAGAGCATGCAGTCCTTTGGAACCCATTACTTTTAAATATTTTATATGAATCTTGGCACACTGGGCCAAGCAATGTGAGCCACCCTGAGCCCACTTGTGGGGAGGGCGAGCTATAAATGTAATCAAATAAATACTTTCCAAGCTGCTTTTTCCAATAGAAATGTGGCCCCAAAGAACAGAATTTGGGGGTAGTCAGGCTGCCATTTTACTTCACTAGTTAACTAAAGCATATGTAGAGGAGCGAATTGCCTATGTTGTTAGTATGCACGAATTACAACTTAAATTCTCATTTGTTTGTTAGAACTAAGGTATGATCTACCGGCATCATACAAATTCCACAAAAAGAAATCGGTAAGTATTGAGGGGATGTTAATTTGTATGAGGTGCAAGTTCCTTTCATGCAGTGTCATTCGGACAACTGCTACGCTATTGATCCCATGAGAACCTCTTGATCAGGGGTTTCTGTAACTGTCCAAGCATAAAATTTCCTACTGAGAAGACAGCAGAGCACCCCAGATGTCTCTTAAAAGCTTCTAGTACAAAGGCACTGATCTTCAAACTACTCAGCACTGGGCCCCACTTTTAACTCAAGTCTACAATGGAAGACCCATCTAAAATTTTAACCATGAATAATTATCATCTCATTTCCCTCCATCTTCTCTGATGCCAGTTGAAGACTACTGCTGGAGTTGTTTCTATTCAACCCTTGAGCTAATCCACTTGTGAGAATAAGAAATATAGATTCCACCCCCACCCACCTCCAGGCTTCTTGCTCAAAAACTGGCAAAACTTAAGAGAGTGGATGATAATATAGTGTAGTTTAGATGGACAAGGAAAGAAGGTGAATAGAAATTTCCCCTGTTAAGGAGACAGTGTCAATGGTCTGCAGTTAATTGTTCTCTTACTTACTGGGATTGTGTAAAATTAGATGCTTAATTCTATATAGGTCACAGAATTCAGCTTTTGTATGCATACAGTGACACTACTCTAGTCCAGCTTACACCCAGAACTCTTAGTTTCTTTAATTTTGAATTAATGTATAGGAGCTGAGGTTACTTTTGGACAAGGAGGGACAGTCTGTTCCATTACTCAACACAGTAGCATGTTATGCATGATCTCTCATGCCTGTTTTACCCACATCAGCATTGGTTGCCTTCAATTTGGCTAGAAGTAGTACTTAGAGAGTATCTTAAGTGCTTTCAAACTGACCTGCATTGTATAATAGTAAAGGAGGATTTCTTATTTCAAATGATATGGGGAGCTGCAAGGTGAGAAACAGCTCTGGCGTTTAGTAACTTCCATGAAGAAGTGCTCTCAAAACTCAGCACCTTGACTAGGGTAAGTCTAGCCCCTCCCAGTAGGAATGGGCACAACCAGGGAACATGGAGTTTTGTCCCAGTTTGTGGTTTCACACAAACCTCCCGTTTAACAAACTCATTCATTTCGTGAGGTTCGTGATGCAGTAGGGGAGTCTTCTCTCCCTTTCTGTCGCCAGCGGCTCTCCGAGCTTCCACGGCAAAGACTTAAATCTGGATCTCCAAGATCCTAGTCTGAAACATTAACCATTCTACAACACTGGCTTTTGTGCAGTCAATAATACCAAGCAGCTGGCCCTGGCGAGTCTTCCCTCAAAGCCCAGACAGACCTGGAAATAGCCCTGTATCCTTCCCATCTTACTGACAGAAATCAAGGCTGACAATATTGTTGTGATTGCTTAGCAACCTCCACAATGGCCACTGCAGAAGCTATTTGTTTCCTAAAGATGCTGCTTCTATTATTGGAAGTAGTTAACCCCCAGGACTCTCAGGATCACAGTCTAGATTCATACGAAAGTGATTTGCATTAATAACCTACTTCACAGAGCATGACATTCTACCAGCACATGTAGGCTACGCCAAATGGCTTCATTTATGAGTTGCTTTTTCTTACTTTAGTTAGCCTTTATTTTAGGGTCTGAGCACTCTTTCTACAAGATTTTACTTATATTTTAATGGTACTATAAGACACTCACATATTAGTGGTAGGGTAAAGGTTCCCTTGCTCGAAAGCCAGTCGAATCCGACTCTAGGGTTGCGGTGCTCATCTCCGTTTCAAAGCCAAAGAGCCAGCGCTGTCCAAAGACATTTCTGTGGTCATGTGGCCGGCATGACTAAACACCAAGGCGCACGGAACGCTGTTACCTTCCCACCAAAGTGGTACCTATTTATCTACTTGCAATTTCTTGCTTTCGAACTGCTAGGTTGGCAGGAGCTGGAACTAGAGATGGGAGCTCACTCCGTCATGTGGCACACTCGGGTCTCGAACTGCTGAACTACGGACCTTCCACAGCCTGCAGTTCAGCGTCTTAACCACTTGAGCCACCGCAGCTCCTTAGTGGTAGGATACTTGGGAACAAAACAAAGCGCATAAGGCCTCAGGCAAAGTTAATTTTGATATATGGATATATTGAAACGTCTTAAGGGTATGTATTTACACGTCGTTGAAATAGGGTTGAATGTATTACTGGTTATGCTTATTGGATTTTATGTAGATGTGACTTCTCTTTTAATAAAAATTTTTTAGAAAATAAAAAAAAAATTATCTGTAAACCTGGGGCTTTCTCAGGGTTGTAGAAAGATCTGTCTTGTCTGTTCACTGCTCCAGTCTTCAGATTTAGGTATCCACATATGGCTCCACAGTGAGAATCAGATATATTGCTACTGCCTAATACAAGTTGTGAGATGATTCCCTGTAGAAAAAGTCAGATGTTTCCTATAATTGTAGTACACAGAAGACAGGAAGGTGTGGTTTGACAGATGTCCTGCTTAAGTAAACGTGGGAAAACCATTCAAAACCTTGAAAGAATCAGGTAGCTTTATAGTTTTATTAGTGATAAACCTCTTAACCCAATAACTCCTTGCACTCTGACACTTATGCTGCGGTTTATTTGATATATGCAACTTATACAACTTTTGTACACAGTTTACACACAGCTGCATAAACCTTCCCCTTTAGTCTCGGACTGTATAACAAAATTATAAATATAAAAAATTGCATGATCGACTACGTATCCAGAAGGGGAGGGGGTGATTTCTATTGAATCAGTTTTTTTCTTTGCCCTTTGCAGGTGGACATCGAAGTAGATTTTATTAGATTCTCAAGTGAAAAGAAGACAAATGAAGGAATGACTTAAAACTTCTAAAAAGTAGAATAAAAAATTAATGCTTTTTTGAAGTATTATTCCTGATCTCCAGCACCGTTTTCTGTCTTTAGCTGCTTCGCGGCAGGTTCTTCTTGCTCTGTGTCTTCTAATGGCCTTTTCTTGGGACTTGCTGGCCCTGTAACATTTGAGATCCATCAGTGGTGTAATCTACAGCAGTTCAACTCGTATTCAAGGCAATGAAAATGAAGCAAGTAATACTGAAGCTTTTTAAAGTATATCTACAGCCAGCACTTCTATTGCTCTACATAAGGTGAAATGGTTCTGCTAAAACTTGGCCAGAATGGATATGCTTACCTGGATTCCCACAGAATGCTTTAATAATTTATCTTGCTTAAAACATATCTATGCCACTTTTCCACCCAAAGGTTCCCAAGACTGAACAAACATTTCAAAATTAAAACATTTAAAATAAAATATAAAATGTTTCAATAAAAACATAAGTGCCCCCAACCAATCAAAAGGATGGTTTCAGCTTCATGCATATTGGCTACTATACGCTAAAAAAATTAATACACACATTCCTCCATTATGGAAATACCAGCTCTCTGTGGCCCCTGCTAGGGTCTTCTAAACACAATAATATTTCCAGAATTTAATGTAGGGGCTTCCCCAGACAGAAGATAGTATCCAGGTTGAATAATGAAAGGGCAGGAGCATTTAAGGCTCACATCTTGCATGGCTCCTTCCTATGCTATCAGACAAGGAAAGCAGCCCTGGATCATGGTATAGTCCCTCCTTCTGCAGACTGGCTTGAACTGCAGCACTGCTTCATCCTATGTGATCCAGGATTTCTTGTCTTCACAGGGTAGTATGAGAGAGAGCTGCACAGCAGCATTTCCCCTGCCATGAGAGTAAGACAGCTGGGCCTAGTGAGGCGCTACAGAATCACATAGGTAGTTCTGGCTCAATGATTCCTTTCTCCTCCAAAACATTCTTTTAAAAAATTATTCAAAAATAAGGCTGATTCAGTGGTGTCAAACTCATTTGTTATGAGGGCCAGATCTGACATAAATGTTTTGTCGGGCAGGGCTATGTGTACCATAAAATGTAATGCCAGGTACCAGAGATATAAACTTTACGAAGGTGATTTCAGATGCTGAATGGCAATAGCTGGTGAATGACAACAGCAGGTTTGATTGGATTCGGTGTGATATGCAGAGGGATCGTAGGCAAGAAGAAGAAAAAGAAGAGGAGGAGACTGGATTTATACCCCGCTCTTCACTACCCAAAGGAGCCTCAAAGCAGCTTACAAACTCCTTTCCCTTCTCCTCCCCACAACAGACACCCTGTGAGGTAGGTGGGGCTGAGAGAGCTCTGACAGAAACTGTTCTTTTTCAAGAACAGCAGTGCCAGAACTATGGCTTTCCCAAGGTCATCCAGTAGGTGCAAGTGGAGGAGTGGGGAATTAAACCCGGTTCTCCCAGATTAGAGTCCGCGCACTTAACCACTACACCAAACATTATCAGCATTGATAATGAGACAGGAAACCTGGGCCTCAATTCGGTCCAGGAGGATTCAGTCCAGGAAGGTGACCTAAGAGTAGCAGTTCTCTTAAAAAGGAATTTCAAAGACAGATTAGAAAGAGAGATTGCTGAATTGCAGTTAATAATGCTCAAAACAATGCAACCTCCTGGACTGGACTGAGACCTAGGTTTCCTGTCTCATTATCAACGCCTGCTATTATCATTTGGCATCTGAAATCACTCCACTCCATTCTCCAAGATATAAGGACAGAGGGACTCACATTCTAGCTGTATCTGAAAAAGTGAATAGTGATTCACGAAAGGTCATGCCCTGCCACAAATTTTGTTAGTCATTAAGGTGTTTAGTACTCTTGCTCCTTTCCACTAATAAAGATTGCAAGCTGTGCAGTTAGGTTTTTTTCTTCTTCATCATCAGAACTGGAGAGGGGGATCTCTCCAAGTGAAAGAATGTGTTGATTTCAGACTGCGGCAAAATCCACTCAGTGTTAGTGATGATAATGAAACAGTTAAAAAAAGCAAAGGCAACCAGCAAGGTAGGAGGGGAGAAAAGATGTGCTGAACTGGAACCATAGTCATCTACTTCTAATAATTAAACAATGGAATCCAATCCAAGTGTTTAATTCCTAATCAGGGTCTTTTTGAAACCAAATAAAATCCCAGATAGGCACAGAGAAATGAAATCTTTTTTAAAAAAAACCTTTTCAGAATAAGCCAAAATAATTTCCTTTTAATTCCCTTTTTCCCTTATCCCAAGGCATCTCTCTCCTGTGCCCCCTTCCTTTCCTTTAGAGTGTGTGTGTGTGTGTGTGTGATCAAGTCTCAAAGTAAACAGAGTAGGGTGATCCCAATGTAAATTGTGCTTGTCAGAATTGTCCTCCACTCTCTCTAAAGAAGTGTGTGTGCACATGAAAGCTTATACCTTGAATAAAACTTTGTTGGTCTTAAAGGTGCCACTGGACTCTGTTCTCTCTCTCTCTGGCTCTT